ACACAACAAAGTCTGTATAGTAGGCGACTTTAACCTTGGCCAAATAGATTGGACTGTCCTTACGGGTAACTCAGAATCTGAGGATTTTCTCGAGACGATACAGGACTGTTTCCTAAGTCAACATATAACCGAACCCACACGGGGTAATAATATACTGGATTTAGTTCTGTCGAACAGAGAAAACCTCATTAGCAATGTCGAGGTAGGGAACGAACTTGCAAACAGCGATCACAAAGAAATTCGATTACAGTTAGATTTTCAGGGCAGACGTAAGGAAAATTCCACTAAAGTACCAGATTTCAGGAGGGCAAGCTTTGACAGTTTAAAGAGGCAGCTGAGAGAGGGGGTGTCGCGCTTGGCCGTGAACCTGACAGATGACACCGACCTGATAACGAGATCTGAGATTGCCGAGTTCCATGACAATTTAAATAGTGAGTTACTTAATGCACAAAGGCAGAACATACCATACAAAAAACTCAGATCAGACAACAATGACCCTAAATGGATAAATAATTATTTAAAGAACATCATTGGCCAAAGGAAGGCTATAGGTAGAAGGATAAATCGTGGCGAAATTCACCGGGACTATTATAGGGTATTGGCGAGTAGGGTTAAAACCGAGATAAGGAAAGCAAAGAGGAATAATGAGGTAAGGATAGCAAGGAGGCGAAGACAAACCCCAAAGGATTCTACCAAATGTATCAAACTAAAACACGAGAAAAGATTGGACCAATACGGTCAGACCGGCGAGCTCACTGATAACGACGGAGAAATGAGCAATAATTTGAATAAATATTTTTCAACAGTTTTCACCACCGAAAATTTAAACATGATACCCGAGGCACCGACTCTATTCAGAGATAGTGAAGAAAACAAATTAAGTGAGATAGTAGTAACTATTAACGATGTTAGTAAGCAAATAGACAAACTAAAGCCTAATAAGTCACCTGGTCCCGATGAGATATTTGCCATAGTATTAAAGGAATGTAAGGAAGAGCTTAGTATGCCCTTAGCAAAGTTGTTTATCATGTCCTTAAAAACAGGTGTAGTACCAGAATCCTGGAGGATAGCGAATGTAATACCGATTTTCAAGAAGGGGGATAGATCACTATCTTCTAACTACCGCCCAATCAGTCTAACATCAATAGTAGGCAAAATACTGGAAGCAATCATTTCAAACTCTATTCGAAATCACCTGGAGAAGCACCGATTGATCAATGATTCCCAGCATGGCTTCACAAGCGGACGTTCTTGCCTAACTAAACTATTAACATTCTTTTCATCAGTTTTCGAATCAGTGGACGAGGGGCACAATTATGATGTGGTATATCTCGACTTTAGTAAAGCCTTCGACAGAGTCCCCCACGAAAGACTAATTAGAATGGTAGAAGCTCATGGCATCAAAGGTGACATCCTTAAATGGATTAGGGCGTGGTTACAGGACAGGAAACAGCGAGTGAGCATTAACGGCACTAAGTCCCATTGGAGCAACGTCACAAGTGGAGTTCCCCAAGGCTCAGTACTTGGACCATTATTGTTTATTATATACATAAACGACATAGATATCGGCATAGACAGCAACATAAGTAAATTTGTTGATGACACTAAAATAGGACGTGTTATTAAATCTGACGAGGACTCGGCAAAACTACAGGAAGATCTAAACAAATTTTTCGAATGGTCTGAAAAATGGCAGATGAAATTCAACGTGGACAAATGTAAAGTACTCAGTATAGGAGATGTAAACAGGGAAACCAGATACCAGATGAACAACGATGCCATAGAGAAATCCGACTGCGAGAGAGATTTAGGAATAATGATAAGTAGGAACCTTAAGCCAAGTAAACAATGTGTTTTTGCTCGTAACAAGGCTAATAAAGTACTTGGGTTCATACAAAGGAGTGTTAGTTACAAGACTAGCGAGGTCATCCTAAAACTGTATCTTGCTCTTGTGAGACCACACCTGGATTACGCAGTTCAGTTCTGGTCACCGTATTACAGAATGGATATAGAATCCTTGGAAAGAATTCAGAGGAGAATGACAAGACTAATCCCGGCATTAGGAACCTTGAGTATAGAGACAGGTTAAAGCATCTTAATTTGCACTCCCTTGAGAGACGTAGAGCGAGGGCGACCTGATAGAGGTGTATAAGTGGAAGGCAGGGCTAAACAAAGGACATTACAAAGGTACTCAAATTATCCAACCAGGAGCGAACTCGTAACAATGGTTTTAAATTAGACAAATTTAGATTTAGGCGTGAAATAGGTAAACACTGGTTTGGAAACAGAGTAGTGGATGAATGGAACAAGTTACCAAATATCATCATTAACTCGAATACGCTGAATTGCTTCAAACATAGGTTGGATGCTCATATGAGCAATAGGGGTTGGGTGTAAACGGGACTGCCCAGTATGGGCCAATAGGCCCGCTGCAGTTTCCTCCATTCTTATGTTCTTATGTTCTTATATAATAAACAGCATAGGCTGTGCAAAATTTATAACTACGGTGGACTTATTGGAAGGATATTATCAAGTGGGACTCACGGATAGGGCAAAAATAATCTCAGCATTTATAACTCCATTTGGTTATGGCGTTTGGCTTTTCTAATGCTCCGGCCACATTCCAGAGGGCCATCAATTACCTGATTCAGGACCTAGATGGGACGTTAGCCTACCTGGATGACTTGGTGGTGGTGTCGGACGGCTGGGACGAACATCTGGTGCGTTTGGAGATACTGTTCGCACGACTGCAAGAGACTGGATTCACCATAAACCTGGCTAAATCTGCCTTTGGCCGGGCCTCAGTGACTTACCTGGGACATATCGTTGGGCATGGTATGGTGAGACCCAAGGATGCAAACGTTAAAGCCATCTTGTCCTTCCCCTCTCCAAGGACGAGGAAGGAACTCATGCGCTTCCTGGGGATGTGCGGCTACTACAGTCGGTTCTGCAGTAACTTCTCCAGCGTGGCAGGACCCCTCACAGACCTTACCAATTCTGCAGTCCCTTACATCTGGAACCAGAGGTGCGACCAGTCTTTCCACCGCCTCAAAGCCTTCCTTGCCTCCAAGCCTGTAGTCCACCCCTTGACTACACCTTGCCCTTTCATCTGCAAATCGATGCTAGCGGTGTCGGAGTGGGGGCTGTGCTCCTACAACCCGACCCAACCACTGATGTCCTTCACCCTGTGCCATACTACTCCGCCAAGTTGAAAAAACATCAGACCAACTACTCGACCATAGAGAAGGAGGCCCTGGCTCTGGTGTTGGCAATAAAGAAGTTTGAATGTTACCTCCAATCTCGCCCACAAACGACCCTAGTCTTCACTGACCATAACCCGCTCACGTTCATCCAAACCAACAAGACCCCCAAGCAGCGAATCCTCCGCTGGGCTCTCCTCACCCAGCCCTATAATCTACAAGTCCGGCACATAAAGGGGGTGGACAACCTGATTGCGGACTCCTTATCCCGAGCTCCAGTGGAAATGCAGCAGCTACTCTCCAGACGCACCAGGTGATCACCTCATTCGCGCCCGCGCTAAGGAGGTCTTTGAAGGGGGGTGGGTGTTACGAACCCCGCCATCTATTGCCATGATCTACCTACCCAGCACCACAAGCAACGCCATCTAGGGACGAAACCCGAGTATGACTAGTCTTACTTACCACTCCGGGGTTTCCCTTCTCCATATCCTGGTTGTTGCGTCACCTCCTCCAAGTCTTCCTCATCAGCTCCAGATCGAGGAGAGGGCAGTTCACTTTGAGAAGTGACCACACTAGGATCACCTATCCTGGAAACCTACGGCACAGTGACTACCTACCATCTTCTTCAATACTCAGCCTTACTCGTCAGCCATCTCAGCACTGCACTTGAGTATTTTGTAATCTTATATTGCCTCCCCACGTCCACTTGCTTCCGAATGTTGTATAAATATGTATATACTGTTAAGCCAATGTTATGTATGTTTAGGTTAAGTATGGTTTAGGGTAATTTATAAGAAGCTGAATATTTTGTTAAAGAATTTATGGTACTTTATTATACACAACAAAAACTCGCATCCTTTGTCTACCCTTTTATAGTCCGATTGTCTTTGTTTTTTTATTGTTGTTGCCTGTTGGGATCTGGGTAGACTTTTAACCATATTCTAAATCCCCAACTCGTAACGATATATATATATATATATATATATATATATATATATATATATATATATATATATATATATATATATATATATATATATATATATATATATATATAATGATGATGAGAACCAGGGAAAACACAAACATCTTGACTAAGTTGGGTTTCTTTAATCACTAACGATTTGGAAAAATCATTTTCCATCATCAGAGCCTTGAAAACAAAAAGTTTTGAAAAAGTTTTAAAATTACAGGTGACATACAATAAAAACATAACATTATACGAAAATTTACCTTCAATAAAATTAAAAAAAAGAGCAATCCAATTTAAACGACAAAAATGACGAGAGACCTATGTACAAAGCTAAAATCAGGAATAAAATAGTGAGAAAAAAAACACACACACACACGCACGTGTGTGTGTGTGTGTGTGTGTGTAAATATATTATGTACTAATGCATACACCTTACTTACCAAATCCTATTAAACATGGTGTTCCAGGTAATTTTTTCCAAAATCAGTCATCTTTGCAGTAGGCTGGAAATATATATATACAGTATAGAAAATCTGTAATTTTAAGTAGACACCTACATAGAAATAAGACAAACACAGACACAAAGACAAAAACACCCCCAATACAGTTGATCATGCAAATGCGGGCACACATATAAACAGGGATGCAAACAGACAGATTTATGCTAACAGTTACAAAACCCCTGAAGGGTGAAGCTGTGAAATTCTTTTAAATATAGACACACACAAATGGTATATTCATGATGTCACATATGGAGGGGAAAACAAGCTGAAGTAACTGAGAATGGAAACTTTAAAATGTCAATAAAAGTTAAAGATTTTCCAATCTCAACCACATACCTCTACCAAACGATACAGGGATGCCTCTTTTTCATTCAGGTGTGACAAAACAGCACAAATCATTGCAGCCACTTCAGGACTATTATTACCCATTGTGGATTTGGCTTCGAGAAGTTCATTCACTATTATTTTCATGTGCTTGTTTTGCTGTTCTTTCATCCATTGAAGATTTTTTTTCCCTTGAGTTTCATAAACATTATTTAGCTTTTCCTGGATGTCTATGCCAGTTAATTCCTTAAAATGTACAAACATGCCATGTCGTTCAAACAGGTAGGGCCATTCAACTTGTAATTTGGAAATCGATAAATTTTTCTCTATAATATCAATCCTCTGAGTGAAGTAGGTAGTTTGCATTAACTCACCAACTTCATCACTGACTCCAAATAAATGTTTTTGCTTCAGTATAGTTTTTTTGTTTCGTTGTGATACCTTTGTTTCTCCATCAGGATAATCTATAGGCATATAATTAATGCAACCATGTTTATCATGCTTGGCATCCTTTTGGGAAGTTTTAGCTGCAGATAGATCCTCATCATCAGCCATGACATCATCCTTTTTTCTTTTCATTGATTGACCATTACTCTTTCTGTTGACATTATCAAACCTAAGCTGCAGCTGCTTTAATAGTGAGTCAAAACCTGTTCCTACTATTGTTCCATTTATTTCATCTTGGAAAGATTTTGGATATTGTTTCACAATTTTATGGGCAATGGTTGTCAATGCCTTCTTACCTTTTTTTTTACAGACTTTTGATATTTCATCAACTAATATTCGCACCATTTCTCTTCTTGCCGGGGGATTAGGCCTCATGCCTTTCTCTAAAAATGTTAGCAAATCTCTTTTTGAAAATTTAGCCCATGGAAATTCATAATCATTGGCCCACATTGCATTCACATTGACTTGCAACTCATGCAATGAACTTGATGCACACTCAATGTTTGTGGTTTGTGTAATCATAGCTGTTGAAACATTATCTGACTTTATTGATGTTTGAGACTTTGAAGATCCTGAAATGTATAACCTAAATCAAAATTTAAGCCTTCACAGCACTGACACAAAACATACAAGTGCATGTAAGCAGTCAGTCAATTGATCAGATGGCAAGTCATGTAAAGCCAAAAAAGCAGCACAATAATTTAGTACATGGAACAGGAGATTATGAAGTTGAGGGTAATTAAAAGCAACCAATTATCCTAACGCAACGCCCACAATAAGGTAATGTAAAAGGAACATAATGTAACAATACACTAGCAGCCTTAGACTGGTAACAGTTTTACTGAACAAGAATCAATCACAAAACTACCGGGTATATGCTAAAAACAGCATGCATTATTGTTGCCTAAAAATCATAATTTCTCATAATAGTAGAGGTTATATAAATATAATGTACAGATTATACATTTCCTCACCACCCATGATAGTTCCTAATGCTACTGAAAGGCTCTCTAATCATAAATTAAATATATACTGTAGTTGATAAGGGGATAATATAACTATATAATTATACAAATGTTTACTTGATAAGGAAGAATGTAACTACCTATACAAATATGAATCATGAATTGCTTCAGTCTTTTAAAAAACATTCAAGATAATATGCATCTCAAACAACTATCATACCTTGTGTCCAGCTGGCAATGAGTTTACAGGCTTGAATGGCCTTCAACATCGAAAGGTCCTCTAGTTGTACATATTTCAAGTCATCAACTGTTTCAACACCTATGCTATTGGCAAGGTGATCCACAACTTGTTCTAATGTTGGCGGAATAAGTGTTGGAAGAATAGCCTGAATTGATTGCCTTAAATCTTCCATTATGCCCTAAACCTGACAACATAAAAGCAAACACAAAAATCAGCATGTTAGCAACATCAATATTAACACTGAACTTTCTGGCAACCCCTTGAATTGGCTTTCCGTTAAGTAATTGTCGTGCCATACGATGTTTGCATATAATATCTAGTCATATTTCCTGATCAGCCATAATTATTTTTCTCTGTTCACTAAAAAACAGTTTGATGTCATAGTTCAAGCAACTTAGAACAAAAGCAGAAACATAATGGCAAGTGAGGAGCAAATTTTGCACAGGACTATAAAATACCCTCAAAACTGTATATATTATTTCTTGGTTAAATAACTTAAAATTTACCAAATTTTTTTTTTATCTCGAGAATGATATAGCATGCTTAAGTACTATTATTAGTGATTTCCCGCGTTTATAAACATAAACTCCCTGTAATGGATAGTAATCAATCAATTCTTCTGCTTTTATGCACCTGAATGAATCATTGACTGCTTACTTATAACAAAGTGAGTATACATGTAACTCCTCTGAGAATGTGGAATTGTATTCCTGCACTAGAAAATGTACTTGGGTACTTGAATTTACGACAATGAACTGGATGTCCCCGAACAACAGACCATCTTCATTTTTACCTGAAACTACATAGCTTCCTTTCTTGTAATTTGTGCCCTTGATTGTTACCTCTAAGCTAAGTTCAGCATTTTTATCACTTTGGCTATTCATCATAGATAATTGAATCACTTCATTATATGTATTTGGGATTAAAGGAAAGCTTCTTTTTTTTAAATTCCACTTTGTTTTGGAAGAAGGAATTAACTTGTTTATAGGCTTGCATTAACTGGTGTTTTTCACTTAAAGTCTGACAAACATTCCTGAAATTTTGTGCACTTCTGATTCATCTTTTGAATTAGGAATGTTTACTTTCAAAGTGCAAGTCCATACATGTATCAAAGGACCAAATTCTAATATAAGTCCTGGGTAGTGTTTCAAAAAATCATGCTTTGGTTTCATCTTCTCATTGTATTGTCTATATACTAGATATTCATCATTAAGGATGGCAAGATAAGCAATATCTGACTCTTGAATCTTAGGTGTACAAATGAGTTCCACAATGTTTTGCAATAAAATGAACATTTGCCAGACTGGATCATCTGCATTCTTAACTTTGTCATTTATAATGAGAGGCAATAACCGTATTAAAGACCAGTTTTGTGCAGCTTGCTGCTTGCCCACCTAATTTATAACTTGATGCCAGAGCCGGATTCAGGAGTAGGCAAAGTGGGCAGCTGCCCAGGGGCCTCCACAATCTGGGGGCCTCCACATATCAGGGCTGGTCGACTTGAAACCACATGAATGACTCCAGTCATATCTCACTTTTGTGTGTGCGTGTGTTGGGAATTTGTACACTATCAATAAATATACAGTTAATTAAAAAATTCTTAATGTTCTAATTTCCTCAATATAACTGCATATGGCTTCAAAATTCTCCAAAGAGGTGTTCAAATTTCAAAATTTTCCCAGGGGGCTTACAGCGCCCCCGGAACTCCCAGGTGTTTAAGCTCGCTTCACTCGCCACCCCACCCTCTTGGGTAGTTATAATGAGGGGGGCCTCCACAAAGAGGCTGTCCATGGGCCTCCTCAGGTCTAAATCCAGCACTGCTTGCTGCATTTACTTCACATGGGTTAGAGCCAGCATCTGTACCACTATAAGGGAAATGGTTAGTCGCTGGTTGAGTTCTTGACATGTCAACCATTTTTTTTCTTTAATATCATGGCCAAGAAAAGGTGGTAGGCCACACTGACAAAACATGATAATACTTCAGAGCATTGAAAGCAGAATCAAATTTCACACCAACACTATTTACAGCACTATCGTCATTTAAGACATGTTTTACAGCCAAGTCATAATTTTGAATTGTTCTCTTTGGACCTACACTAATTGGGTTACATCGAAAATCGCTTTAAGTGATTGTACAGTGTCGGCAAAAGTGTTGAACTGTACTGAAATTTTCAGAGAAGCCACCAATCCCATGAGAACCTAAGTTGTCTCAGGTGATATAGTAAATTGTACCCTTTACGGTTTCATTACCAATTTTAATACTATTTATTTCTAGATCTTTTAAATCTTCAATCATCTTAGAAAATATTTTATCGTCACCAAAATACTTTAAATAATTTTCTTTACAAAGTAGAACCAATAGGTTATCAACAACAGAATGCAAATGGGGTCTAAAATTGCCAAGAGTCATATATACATCAAGAATCTTGTTTTTTTCTACTACAGCCAATTGGATTGCAAACCTCAAAAGGCATCTTGATAGAGAATAATCCTTAGTGAATTTGGACTATACATATTTGAATAACTTGTTACTACTGAAAGCTTGTCCATCAATAATGTCTTGATAACATTTTCCATAACTGCTTGAATCATCATTCTGGGCCACCATTGTCTTACTGTATTCACTCTGAACAGATTCATAAGTAAAAAGACATTTTAATGTTTCATTAAGTGGAACATACTGATATGTGCACTCTTTATTTTGATAATTCCTACCTAAGTGATGGGACTGTGGCTCAACATAATCAAACTTTTTCTTGAACAACAATTTATGACAGTAATCTGATCTTAGTGGGCTACTAGTCTGGTCAAAAATTGCATCAGAAGCCTGAATATCATTTGTAATATGTTTAATACTTTCTTCAGGGATAGAAAGCTGTTTAAGCTTATCAGTTAACTTTAATGAGCGAAAGGAATTCATTCTTTGAATTTCTTCAACTAAATTCTGAATAACTGTTGCTGGCACCAAATACTTAGACTGCAATTTTAGAAAAAATAAAGCTACATTCCTTATGTGTAATTCATGCTCTGAAGCCTCTAATTTCTGCTCAACAGTATCTTCATAATTATCATCATAGTCTGCATCACAATGCTCCAACTCCATGTATTGTACTGAGTCATTAAAGAGACAAGAATAATTTCTGATGGTAAATCTTTGACTGTATGATGTCGAAGATATCTACTTATGTGCACTGAAAATATAGTCTTTTTTATAAATTATTTTTGGCAAATTTTGACTTTGACTAAATGGACATTTGATACTAGTTCCATCATTCATATATTGTCTTAAATGTTTCAATAGTGCTTACAGTCCATTACACACTTGTTGGCACATTAATAGCTGGCACTGTAATTCAACATTAACATTTAATCCTCCAAACTGATATGTTGTTTTAGGTCTGTCCTGGAGGATTTAAATAAACTGCAGGAGCGGTCAGAAAAATGGCAAATGAAATTCAACACCAGCAAGTGCAGCGTACTTAATATTGGAAGAACAAATACTGTCAATGTATACAGCCTTAACAACATCAACCTAGAGAGGTCGACTTGTGAAAGAGACCTAGGGGTACTTGTAAGGCCGGACACTACGGCCAAGAAAACAGTGTGTTAATGTTCGAAATAAGACAAACAGAGTATTAGGTTTTATATCTAGAAGTGTAAGTAATAAGAGTGCAGAGGTCTTATTACAACAATATCTTGCGCTAGTCAGGCCGCACCTCGATTATGCCGTTCAGTTCTGGTGCCCTTATTATAGAATGGATATCAATTCACTGGAGTCGGTGCAGCGAAGAATGATGAAAATGATTCTGGGACTTAGAAACCTTCCATATCAAGATAGGTTACAGAAACTAAACTTGCATTCCCTTAAAAGAAAAAGAGTGCGGGGAGATATGATAAAAGTGTTTAAGTGGGTGAAGGGAATCAATAAGGGCGATACAGATAAAGTTCTTATAATATCCGAGCAAGATAGGATTCGTAGCAACGGATTTAAGTTGGATAAGTTTAGGTTTAGAAGGGAGATAGGAAGGAACTGATTCACAAATAGGGTGGTGGACGAGTGGAACAAGCTTAGCAACTTTGTAGTAAGTGCTGGAACGCTGGAAAGTTTTAAAAGGAGGCTGGATAGATTCATGGATGATAGAATGGTAATAACTCTAGACAGGAGCCGGTCCGACTAATTACCCAAATGTACCCAAATGTAGCCGCAATGAAGTCAAATAATGGTCCTACATGAATAAATCGGACTGCCAACCACTTCTCGACTAGTATTTGGTGTCACAAAGTCACAAAAAATTGGAAAACTTAATTTAAACTGAGTTAATAGATCGCGTGCTTGTACCGAGGGAGCGAGTAATTACCCAAATGAACCCAAATGTACCCAAATGTAACCGCAATGAAGTCAAATGATGGTCCTTCATGAATAAATCGGACTGCCAATCACTTCTTGACTAGTATTTGGTGTCACGAAGTCACAAAAAAATGGTAAACTTAATTTAATCTGAGTTGTGTGGTGGTGACCACAAGGACTGCGACTTGCATTGGTTGACGTTTGATTGTTTCATTTTTAGAATACTCGTAAGGGTTTTCAGTGGCCAATTATAACAAAATGAATGCCTTATGTTCTCATATTCATACAAAAAATAAGTGATATAGCAAAATAAAATAAAAGAAAATTAAACTAGCAAAATATTAAAAGGAAAACCCAGGGGGTGCCGCGCATTTCGCTGAAGACATAGACGAAACAACTCTTTGCATATCATTCCAGAATTAAGGAAATACAAAGAAAATGAATTCTCTCCAAACAAGTTCTCGACTAGCCTATAGCGTGTTTATTTTATCAGAAAGCTTGCAAGCATTTTTATCCATTTACCACAAGTTTTCTTATCTCTGGGATATCTGTAAAACTTGATGTGCTCTGCTTGGGATTTGAGCTTTGCTGGAGCACTCATACATTGGACAAATAACCATAATTGTTGATACACTGGTCCTGTGACAAAATGCGGGCACACACGAAGGTTACCAAATGATAAGTGTTTACAACAGTGGCGTCACCGACCTGTGCATTGTGGGTAAAACAAGTGCCCGGTGGTCTACCCTTACTGTCTCTAATCCTTGCAAAGACCTCCATCTTTCATTCGTCACCGTACGTCATAATAACCTCTCCTTAACGCT